TGGCTTTATAGACCGATCAGTTGAGAGTGACTCTTGAAGGACCAGCATCACATCCTCTTTTACCACTCCTTCAAGAATTTATCTTCCAGAATCTGGTAGTAAGTTTTGGGAGTTCATTTTCAGTCCATCTCCTATCCTGGAAAGTCTGTTTTGCAGAAACTGACTAAAAATGAACTCCCAAAACTTACTGCCAGATTCTGGAAGATAAAATACAAATCTTAAACAGTATTTTTAAATTCTTAAAAATACAGTCTTCGTGTATTTCACAACACTTCAGCATGTTATTCTTATTAAGTGAGGGTCATTTTTTTAGGATTTTTTACCCAAACAAAGTCTCTGAGAACCTGACACATTGCACTTCTGGAGTTCTGGAAAATGGTGGCGCTGGAGACTAAATGCTTCCTGATGGTTTCACACCTAATTCTTCACCTTAATTCTTAATTATTTTGCAGTTAACATGCGTCTTTTATTCTCACACTGCTGCTACTGACAGTCTGATGACTTTTGAAAATGTCTACTGTACTAGTCATTGAGAAATGCATGTAACCAACTGTAAAATACAACAAAACAAACAAACTGTAATGCCACATCCAAAAATCCTCTGTTGCATATAGCATGTTTTTATTTGGTTGCTATTACACACATATGCATCTGTAAAAATAAATATAATTACAACGCTAGTAAAAACTACCTTTTTCACTCGACCACAAGTTTTCATCAACTTGGAGATATGTCCAGTTTTGAAAGTATTACGCAAACGAAAATGATCAGAATGTTCTTTGACAAAGTTTGGGAAATTTGGGAAAAGAGCGTTTTGAAGTAAGCCGAAATTTAGGAGCCCACACTACACAAATATTAAATTAGGTATGCTTATAAACAGACCCAACTTACAAATGGACAAAGACTAACTTATTTACGTAAATTAGGATTCTGTAACTGTCTTTCACCGGATATGTTTAAAGTATGTACAAGTACAAGCAAAATTCATGCATGCTTTGGTCTATAAAACGATAATCTTTGATACTCACTCTTTCAGCTATTTTGTTTTGCAATTTGTGTTGCTGTTCTTTTAGGCACAAAATGGCCCCTGAATAAACATACTGTCTGTCACTTTAGTGAAGTCAGGCAAAACCATTGCAGGAATGAACCACTGCAGAATCAAAGGCATGCAGTAACATTTCTGACGATTATTATTTAGTCTATATAATTAGGGTTGAAGCTAAACTCTGCAGGGCTGTGCCCCACTAGGAACTGAGTTCTGCACCCCTGCTGTGTAGCCAGATATAGTCATTAACATCTATGAAACCATAATTATGAATCTATGAATCTGTATTTAGTAGGAGTGGGAATCACCAGAGGCCTCACGATACGATATTATCACGATACTTGTGTCACGATACAATATTATTGCGGTTTTAAATATATTGCGATATTCTGCAATTATATTGCAATTTATTACCTTTTTCCAACTTCAAATTATGTCCCCAAAGGAAAACTTTGACAACATCTGTTTTAACTAAAAATAAACATTCCTCAGTTTGTTTATCTCACTTCAGTTTTATTGTTGCAGTGCAAAATGGGATTGTCAAGCAGACAAACTGACCAACACTTTCATGAAAACCTGTCATAAATGTTGTATGCACCTGGCAAACTCAACTATTTGTATTACAGTCTAATCTAGTCCACCTTAATTAAATGTAAACAGGTATGCACTGCTGTGCTACTACAGGTATTTTGAACAATGCAACTTGAAATTGTACTAAAAAGTTGTGCAGACCCTTCAGCAATTGGGGCATTTGAAAGTAAATTACTGCTAAATTTAAATTAAATTAAATAAAACCTGTAGTCTTACATCTAGGGATGCACCGAAATGAAAATTCTGGGCCGAAACGGAAACCGAAAATTCTGGATGCACTTGGCCGAAAACCGAAACTGCTTTGTAATGATATTTTATTAAATAATATAAAGTAATTTTGGAAGATTTTTAAAGAATTTAACTTCATTTTAATGATACTGAATTTAAAATAGCACAAGCCAAAAAAATAACCACACTTTTACTGAAAAGTGAGGTGTGCTCTGATTGGCCAGCTATCCAGTGCGTTATGATTGGCTGAATACCTCAAGCGTGTGACGGAAATGTTACGCCCCTTACCATACTGTTGACGCCGTGTCCTGGCCGGAGCGACGAAACGAAAAACATGAAAACCCATTACAAATGAGGCATTTGTTGCATCCAGTGGGGACATGATTACTGATTATAATGACTTATACTGTCTTTTTTATGCGTTGCGTTGCATCGCGCCGCGTAAACATAAAACCCTGTCTGCATTTGTGATCAGAGAAATGACAAACAACAAGCGCTACTCTACACTGCCCAAAACTCATGTTTGAATCGTCAGTGGCAAATCTTCACTTCTATGTAACAGAATCAGATATAAGTTGTTGTTGTTTTTTGACTAATTATCCAAATAATGTATAGTCCTACAAAGCTATTATTATCAGAGCATGTGAGCAGAGCATAGCGTCACTGAAGGTAGCATTATTTTACACGATACCGCCCTCTTTATTTTACTAACTTACTGCATGCTGACGGTGACCCAGCTGACCTCACCAGAAAAACACTCAACACCACCATCTAGTGGATTGTAAAGAAATTGATTTTATTATTCTACCAAATAGTATAATAAAATATCGATACTTGGCGTCCGTGTATCGATACAGTATTGCCACGGAAAATATCGCGATACTATGCGGTATCGACCCCCCCACCCCTAGTATTTAGTATGTATACCAAAATACACAAACACAAAACATGTTCAGTCATTGCTTTTTTTTTAGTACTTCTAATGCATGACCCTGCTCAGGGGAGTTTCTAAACAATTTGGCAAATTCCTTACGTTAAAGTGGAGAGAGGCTGTCCGAGTGGCATATTATTTTGTAAGTGTGTGGGGACGGAGTGGGTGTGGATATCGTGTGTGGAAATTTAGGGTCCGGGAAAGATGAGAGTGTCATCGGATACCTGTAAATACTAGAAATAAAATACACAAGACAGATAATCAGACAATAATTTTATATAATAATAAAAGTCTCAAACATTATTTATTTTAATACAGATCAACTGTAAACAAGCCAAATCTATCTGTTTATCACACACATACATATATATATATTAAAAATTGAAATGTAATACATTTTTTGAACCGAAAATCATGCACAAACCAGGCTGAAAGGAAAAATTGCATGCCAATTTTAAATGAGCTTTCGTTTGGAATAACTACCAGTTCTATTAATGTTATAATATGCATTATATACATTATAAGTGACTGTACAATGGCAATATAAACAGAAGGTGCTTTATACAGTGAGGTATGTAAATAGCATATGTTTATATATGGCCAATGACCATAACCGTGCAAATGGCATCAGGAGGTAGAAATGTGCAAAATGTGCAGGGATGGGCAAACTGTTTGACTCGAGGGCCACATCAAGTGAGGGGACGCATAATATGTGTATGACAAATGAAACGTTGATTTCTTTTTTTAATTCTAAATGAACTCACTTATACTGTACTATATGGCCTTTGTGTATATATTTAATTATGGCCATCATTAGCTTGACTGTTGATGAAATGGTAGCACTTTACAATAAGAGTCCATTTCTAACATTAACTATGATTGATAAAAGCTGTAGAATAGAAGTATTGTTCCTTGGCAGAGTGTGTTAATTTCAACATTTACCGATATATTTTTACATTTTGAAGTTGTTTTTGTTAACATTATAGAACTATGCATTATGCTATTGTTCCTAAGCTGTAGTTAGTGTTGGGAAGGTTACTTTGGAAATGTAATAGGTTACAGATTACAAGTTACCCTGTTTAAAATGTAATAAGTAGTGTAACAATTTGAATTACTTTATTCATGTATGTAACTGATTACTTTTCTAAAATTCCTACAAATGTTTTCAACTGTTAATCATTTTGAAACAAGTAAACCAGGCAGGGTTAACCTTACAGTAGAACTCAACACGGATTACTGTCAGACTTTCAAAATCCTTCTTCACTAGAATTAAGATTTTAATCATTTAATTTTAAAGCTGTCGCCACAAAATCAGACTTGCTTTGAGATCGTTAAAGGTTAAATACAGATTTAAAACCATACCATGAAATAGTTTAAAAGCTATGATACTGATTTTGAAATCAGGAAACACTGGGATCTAACAATGCCTTGGAAAAACATAAAACAGCATTATTTAAAAACAAAAAACAACAACAAAGAAAGTTTGACTTCAGGAGTGGACCAGGCTAAAATAACAAACAAAAATAGCTCAACTAAAACCCGCTAAATTACTTAAAATAAATAAAAAAAACATAAAAAGAAATACGTCCTTTACCCCAAAACAGGGAACAAACAATATTTACAAAAGAAATGGCATCACTCTCCCTACATCCCTTAATGTACTATTTACAAGTAGTATTTACACAATGTTTACAATCGAAGGCAAACAAATCCAAATCGGCAATCTAAGAATCGTACATTAGAATTATTGTACAGTAGAATATCACAAAACACACACACACACACACACACACACAAAGGAATAAGACAGAGCAGTACAATATGACACACATTGGGAAAACTAGTGTTTGCGGTGGTCCTTATATCTGGAATAGGAGACAAGACTGGACCGGTTGGATTTCTGTTGATTGCGGGGGACATCCCTCCTGGACCCAAACATACTCCAGACACAGCAGCGAACAACAAATGCTTTAAACACACAAGTAATAACATACACAACAAAAATGCAAACCAATGACAACATAAAATAGTCTTTTCACTCTTATATTACAGCCAACACAATCCACTAAAACCTTAATGTCCAGTGGCACCTTCTTCCACTTCTGTAAACCTGTAGAAATAAAAAACATAAAAAGAAATACGTCCTTTACCCCGAAACAGGGAACAAACAATATTTACAAAAGAAATGGCATCTCTCTCCCTACATCCCTTAATGTACTATTTACAAGTAGTATTTACACAATGTTTACAATCGAAGGCAAACAAATCCAAATCGGCAATCTAAGAATCGTACATTAGAATTATTGTACAGTAGAATATCACAAAAAACACACACACACACAAAGGAATAAGACAGAGCAGTACAATATGACACACATTGGGAAAACTAGTGTTTGCGGTGGTCCTTATATCTGGAATAGGAGACAAGACTGGACCGGTTGGATTTCTGTTGATTGCGGGGGACATCCCTCCTGGACCCAAACATACTCCAGACACAGCAGCGAACAACAAATGCTTTAAACACACAAGTAATAACATACACAACAAAAATGCAAACCAATGACAACATAAAATAGTCTTTTCACTCTTATATTACAGCCAACACAATCCACTAAAACCTTAATGTCCAGTGGCACCTTCTTCCACTTCTGTAAACCTGTATGAATAAACGACATCTGCCCATAAAGTCCTACACATACTGTACATAGCTTAATATCCATAATACTTATAAATCTTATAAGCTCTTATATTCTCCACTTACACGTATACAAGGCCTGTTAGTCTATTTAAAAGCTTATAATAAAAATATACTCACAATAGTAGTTTTGCTAGTTTGTAATCTGGATCACCTTTTAGATCAGAAAGTAACTGCACTTCAGAACATCCTAGTTTATTCTCAGACAGATCTAGTTCTGTCAGGTGTTCAGGGTTTGATCTCAGAGCTGAAGCCAGAGCAGCACAACCTTCACCCGTGACACCACAATCTCTCAACCTGTAGAGATCAATGACAATTTTCACTCTCAAACTTTTTGTCACAAGATGCTATGACAATCTTTGTTCATTTCAATTTTTTACAATCAATAGTTTAGTACAGGTAAATGTACTACTATTATTACAGGAGGTCTTTTTCGGCACTTTTACATCACAACACTACCTTTTAGAAGTTTGGGGTTTACATTTTTGAAAGAAAATAACAACTACAAAGATACAGTAAAAGAGTTATTTTGAAATATTACAATTTAAAATAACTGTTTCCTGTTGTAATATGTTAAAATCTAATTTATTGTGTTCAAAGCTGGATTTTCAGCATCATTACTCCAGTGTCACATGATCCTTCAGAAATCATTCTAAAATTCTGCTGCTCAAGATACATTTCTGATTATTATAAATGTTGAAAACGGTGCTGCTTCATATTTTTGTGGAAACTGTGAAATTATTTTTCAGGATTCTTTGATGAATAATGAACTCAAAAGAACAGCATTTATTTGAAACAGGAATCATTTGTAACATTACACTTGTATTTACTGTCACTTTTGATCAGTTAATGCACATGTCATATCTCACACAGGAATAAAAAGCATCAAAGAGATTATCTTACTTTAGTTTCTCCAGTTTACAGTGAGAATCCTTAAGTCCATCAGATAGATGCTTCATGCCCAAATCTAGTAGTTTATTTCTAGACAGATCCAGTTCTCTCAGGTGTGAGGGGTTTGATCTCAAAACTGAAGCCAGAGCAGCACAACCTTTATCTGTGATATTACAGTCATCCAAACTAGAGAGATTGAACATTTAAGTACAATAAATTCAACACCATAACAGTAAAAAATCAACAACAACAAACACTTAAAAGAGTCCTATTATGCTTTTTCACTTTTTTTAACTTTAGCAAATTGCTTCTTCAGGGAGGCAAACTCATCAGGGGTGAAACAAGCTGAGTAATAATAATAATTGTATTTAATAATAATGGCATTAATGGCTGTTTTAATTTGTGCTTTTATACGTTAAACAACAGCCTCATGGCATCAAATATCAAAATATGATATCAAATCTAGAAGAAAGGCTTACAAACAAAGGCTATGTTACTACCTCTCAAGTCATTGGAAACTTGGATCAGTACTAACAGAGGTTTACAGATCCCTAGCACATGCGCCAGCACACTTTCAGGAAAATGTTTTGATAATGTAGTGGTCATCAGTGTTACTTACTGTGCTGATCTGGATTCTTTAATCACAGGAAGCAGCTTCCGAACGACTTTATCTGACGCATTTTCTCTTCCAACTAATTTATTCAGCTCAAACACATCCATCATTTGCTCTGATGTCAACAAGAAAAACACTAAAGCTGACCACTGCAAAGAGGTGAGTTTGGCTTCAGCTAATGTTCCAGAGTTCAGATACTGCTGTATTTCCTCCACTATTGAATGGTCACCTAGCTCATTCAGACAGTGGAACAGATTGATGGATTTTTTTGGAGAGCGACTGATCCTGATCTTCTTTTTGATGTGCTCAACTGTTTCCTCATTGCTCTCAGAGCTCCCTCTTGTCTGTTTCATTAGTCCTTGTAGAAGACCCCGATTAGACTCCACTGACAGACCCAGAAGGAACCGCAGGAAAAGATCCAGATGTCCATTTTTACTCTGTAGAGCCTTATCCACAGCTCTATGATGCAATTCGGATAATGAAACATGTTTTGATTGAATCCAGTCCTTAATTCTAGACGAAAAACCACGTTCGGTGATTTGGTCAAACACATTTGTGTTGTTGTTTGTACAGGAGAGGTGCACATATAGAGCTGCTAGATGTTCCTGAACGCTCAGATGAACAAAGCAAAAAACTTTAACCTGATACAAGCCAAACTCCTCTCTGAAGATCTGAGTGCACAATCCTGAGTACACTGATGCTTCTGTCACATCAATGCCACACTCTCTCAGGTCTTCCTCATAGAAGATCACATTGCCTTTTTCCAGTTGCTCATATGCAAGTTTTCCTAATTGGAAAATCATCTCTTTGTCTGTGTCCTTCTTCTCATTGTACTTCATGTCTTTGATGTTAATCTGTGCCATCAGGAAGTGTGTGTACATTTGAGTGAGAGTCTTGGGAATCTCTCCACTCTCTGCTTGACTCAACATCTTCTCGAGAACAGCGGCTGAGATCCAGCAGAACACTGGGATGTGGCACATGATGTCGAGGCTCTTTGATGACTTCAGATGTGAGATGATTCTTTTGGCCAGACCCTGATCTATGATTCTCTTCCTGAAGTATTCCTCCTTCTGTGGCTCATTGAAGCCTCGTACCTCTGTCACTCGATGGACACACTCAGAGGGGACGAGATCAGCTGCTGCTGGTCTGGAGGTGATCCAGATGAGAGCAGAGGGAAGCAGATTCCCCACAATGAGGTTCGTCAGCAGCACGTCCACTGATGCTGATTCGCTTACATCACACAACCTCACATCGCTCTGAAAATCCAGAGACAGACGACACTCGTCCAGACCATCAAAGATGAACAACACTTTATATTTGTCACTGAATATTTCCATTTCTTTTGTTTCAGGGAAAAATACATGAAGACGTTTTAAAAGACTGAGTGTTTTATCCTTCATCAGATTGAGCGCTCTGAAAGGAAGTGGAAATATGAGTTGGACGTCCTGATTCTCTTTCCCTTCAGCCCAGTCCAGGATGAACTTCTGCACAGAGACTGTTTTTCCAATGCCAGCGACTCCCTTTGTCAGCACAGTTCTGATGGCTTGAGTGTTTTATCCTTCATCAGATTGAGCGCTCTGAAAGGAAGTGGAAATATGAGTTGGACGTCCTGATTCTCTTTCCCTTCAGCCCAGTCCAGGATGAACTTCTGCACAGAGACTGTTTTTCCAATGCCAGCGACTCCTTTTGTCAGCACAGTTCTGATGGGTTTGTCTTGTCCAGGTAAAGCTCTAAAGATGTCACTGCATTTGATCGGTGTGTCCTCTGTTGCTGCTCTCCTGGACTGTGTCTCAATCTGTCTCACCTCATGTTCATTACTGATCTCTCCACTCTCACTCTCTGTGATGTAGAGCTCTGTGTAGATCTCATTCAGGAGTGTTGAGTTTCCTTGCTTTGCTGTTCCCTCATAAAGACACTGAAACTTTTTCTTCAGATTGGATCTAAATGTGTTGAGGACTTCATGGCTGTAAAATTAAAATTTTAACCACATTACATGTATAAAACTGCAGAAGTCTAATGAATGGAAACCTTACAATTAATTATGTAATTGATTATGAAATATATGATGAATCTTTGCAGCATCAAAACCTTGTATTTTACCTGACACCAGGATACATGCTTTCATTAAAGTCTTGTGGTTGATTCACAGACTCGTCATATTTCGTTTTCTTACAGATGGGTTCTGTTACAGCTGGTCTGGATCGCAGGTTTCGCCTTAAAACAGCATAAAGTAAATAAACAATCAGATACTTTGAAGGTATACTTGCCGGCAACCTGCCAAAATAAAAGCTTGCCGATGTAAAGTTTGAAAATGATAAAAATTTATATATATATAAAAAAAAAGTAAATATTAGCATTTTACATTTAAGTTTACTATAAAATAATTTTATTTTTATTTAATACTCCCTTTTTATTTTAAAATATAATAGTATTATCATCACACTTTATTATTTTATTTAAAAAAATAATTATAATATTTGTATCACTATTATTAATTTATATTTTATAGTTATATTTAATGGGTCACACTATTGGCGCTTTTCCAATGCATGGTACGACTCGGTACGGTTCGGTACGGCTCACTTTTGGGGGGTTTTCCACTGGGTACAGTACCTGGTACTTTTTTCAGGATCACCTCGGCTGAGGTTCCAAGTGAGTCGTACCGTTACTAAAATGTGACGTGTAAACCCTGCTGATCACTGATTGGCCGGAGAGAATCGCCACTACCTGCGTCATTGAACTTGCAACACCTTTTTTTAACAACCAAAAAATTTCGTTCCTCTAGTTGACAGCCGAGGAGCGGATCCAGCGAGAGCTTGATGGGGCGACGCAGAATGAAAAAGTTTTTCAGGAGGTCGCTCAGCTCTTGGCCACGACATGTGTATAATCCCGCCAACTTAAAGCAGTACTAAACTGCAGTGGAAACGCAAACCGAGCCGAGCGGAGTCATACCACGCAGTGGAAAATCACCATATGTGCAGTGTGAGGACCAGACCCGGTGGGCCGGTTGCATAAACTGTTTAGACTAGTCTTAAAAAGTTAGTCATCTAATTTTTTTTCTTCAAGACTGGTCATAGCTTTTTAAATTCAGCTATGAAAAAGTAGATTGGTCTTATTTGTATTGGAAAAGTAAGACCCCCCCTTGGCAACTGCTAGTTGGTCAAACTAGTTCTTAAGACAGTCTTAAAGGGGTCATATGATGTTGCTAATAAGAAGATTATTTGGTGTATTTGGTGTAATGAAATGTGTTTATTTCTCTATAATAATAGAGAATATTAATACCATAAGCAACTGTGTACCTGACACTTTGCGGTTTGTCTCCACCCTTCATGTTTGGTGGAGGATCTATAGACCAGTCACTCTTCATAGACACACAGCTGGGCTGTCTGCCTGATCTTTTCCGCTGAACTGACCTAAAACAGAACAGAGGTTACATTTAACTCTTTAAGTTACCATATATTCATCCTTTATAATGTGAATCCATGAGCAAGAACCTGTGAATGCAGAACTACAGAACCGGAAGTTAGATATTATCACCACAATACTTAGTAAACAAACATGGTGGCTAATTTATTTAACAATACGTACAATTACAAACAAGGTTTCTGTTTAACACAACAGATTTAAACCAATTTCCAAAATTCCAACTATTTAATGAATGTTGCTGGGGTTTTTCATAATACTGCTGCTATTTTATAAAACCATTAAGAGACTGGGAGATACCACAAGGTCAAGGTAATACCATAAGCAACTGTGTACCTGAGACTTTGTGGTTTGTCTCCATCCTTCATGTTTGGTGGAGGATCTATAGACCAGTCACTCTTCACGGACACACAGCTGGGCTCTAGCGAATCTGATCCCTCTTGCTGGACTGAACTGTAATAGAGCAAACAAAGGGGCTTGGTGACATCAACTGATGTGTGTCTTTCATAATAAAACCAGAAAAGGTGTATTAACAAAGTAAAAATGTTGTCTTTAATGAGAGTACCTGCATCCTGGTGAAAAATCTTCATCTTTGTTTTTTTGTACTTGACTCATTCTGTCCTCATGGAGCTGCTCTGGTGTGTCTGATTAGTCTGATCTCCCTGCCTCTGACTGGAAATAACAGAAACACTGATTCAGACATATTAAACACCATCACAGTAATTAGATTAGAAATTTAGCCACGTGGGATGCTTATGAAACTGAATGTAGGGTGACCATATGTGCCATTTTCCCAGGACGCGTCCTGGGAAAATGGCACATATGGTCACCCTAACTGAATGTATTAATAAATGTTGCTATATTGTGTAAACTGAATTTAGTCAGAACACACCACATTATGTGAGTGAAAAGGGTTGTTTGTGTAAACACCAAAGACAGAAGGCATGAATTAAGGCTATTAAAATATGTTCTTGAACAAGTCAAATTCACTTATGATTGTAACTGGTCTGAGCAAAAAAAGCTTACAAGTAGTTTCTACCATTTCCTGTTTTTGACTCACTTTTCTTATCCCCCCCTCCACTACGTTTTACTTGGTATGATCCTTTTTTTTTTTTTTACAATGAGGGTTATATTCTATTGTTTTAGTAATACATATGTTTATATTATTTTTTTGCTTTAAAGGATTCTTATTTTTCTTTTTTTTCCCCTACGATGATTAAATTTCATTAGCATTGAGGTGGGTGAAGACATACTTTAGGATATGAGGCGTCAGCAACATACGATCGAAAAACACAACATTAAAGGTGAATGCGTCAGAATACTAGTCTAACGATGCAGTACAACAATTAGCGACGACAGTTCGTAGTTTTAGTGATTATATTAAGGCGCGTTAATATCAAACCCCGCGACGTCGACCTTCAGCTGCTTTCGCGTCGATTCTATTTGACACAGGCTTACACCATTTTACAAAGTGTTTATCTGCCAAATATAGTCATCACGCAAGTTTTGTATATCAAACATTACCTTTGATACTCACTTTTTGTCCTGTGATAACGCGACGCAGTTATTTTGAGGAAAATGGCTGCTGTAACCGTTACTTTCACTTTTGGCTTGTATTGATAACATGGAAGAAACCATTTTAGCCTTTGAGGGCTTTTTTCCAGTCAACGTGTATAGGATGTTTTAAATAAGACTAAAGCGGTATTGACGCTTCTCATAAACACACCGATGGTGATGACAACGTAAGACCGATCTGGCTCCAAAAACAGCGAACATACAAACGCTATACTGTAGCAGACACTTGGCTTATGAATATTAATTACGTAACGTGCTCGGAAGACGTATCTGATTGGCTGTAAGTAAATGGGGGTTGGCAGAAAGAGCGAGTTGCGTCAACGGAAGTCCAAAACGCTCGATCGTCACGTGATTCACGTAGACTTCAAATAGCTCCGGGAAGTTCATAGCGGGGCAATTGTAATACATTGAGTTGGAGAGACAGAACTGTGATTTTTGGTAATTAGTAGACAATAAAATAATTTATTTACATTATTTATCAAATAATGTATACGTAGTATATATATATGTAGTTATATCAGTGTTGTTTTTAAAAGATAAAATCCACTAATATTTGAGGATTAATGTGGTCAGCTATCCTTACCTGCCTTGTTAACATATTTTAGGCTGAAGTTACCATGGTAAAAGTCCGTGTTTGCTATATAAACGACATCGTGGTCTTCTGCCAAGGTAACTTCAGCCTCTCTATATAAATACAATTATATGTGTGTTCTTACAACTTGCATGTTAGTCAAGTTCAATCACATCTTAATGCTCATTGTAATTTTTACTAATCTCATTGTAAATGTTAAGTTTGTTGTCTTAGAAAATTCATTCCAAGTAAATTAAGATATTTTATTAAGTGAAAACTAATCTTGTTTAATGTTTTTGATTCTTGTGCACCCCTCAATTATTAATATATAAAAATATATTTGTAGTATATTCCAATTTAAAACAACTTAAAACATTTTTACACATTTAATCATATATTTTATGTATGTTGACTTTTGTTATGCACTTATTTACAGCAATCAATTTCTACATTTATAATAAACTATAAAGCATGTTGTCCTTGAACAGTCACTCACAGAAAGGAGTGTGAATGTATGGTTTCCCTACTGATCTGGAGAGAAGAAAAAAAATGATGCATTAAGTTTTGTTCAATTCACATTTATTTGTATAGCACTTTTTAATATACACATTGTTTCAAATCAGCTTTACACAAAATGAATGTTTCTACATTACAAATAAGAGTTCTGTTAACAGGTGTAACTGTGCCAAAGTAATGTTCATATGGCTGAAATGTTCTAAATTTAGGCTATACAAATCATGCAGTTAAGTAACGTCATGTATTCAGAAACAATTAAATATATACAGAAACAATGAACAAATTAAAGTAATGGTTACATGATGTTATCATGTTGATTACAATGCAAGGCAAATTTAGCAGTTTTGTATGTTTATTCAGAGTCAGCTTCATCTGAAGTCCTCTCAAGGGTTGGCGTCATCTCTTCACAGGTGTTGGGTCATCTGAACTCTTCATAAGAGGCTGGATATAGTCAGCAGGAGCAATCTATAGATTACACCAACAAAAATACTAGGGAACTGGCACTTTTTCACAAAGA